AGGGGGATTTAAAAATGGCAGTGCCCGGGAACATGCAAATGAAGCCTGGGATATTTAAATCCCTGGCTTCATTTGCAACTCCGCTTGCCCTCATTACCCTACCTAGCTCGCACTAACGAGCTAGTGTAGACGTACCCTCACATATTTACAGGTCCTCGGACCATAATGCATGTACATGTAGTAGGCAGGGGTGTCTTTCGGAGGTGTGGGGGTATGCTTAGACTGACCTCCACCCATCTTAGTCACACGGGGAGTAGAGGAAGAGTGAGTATAGTGGTAAGTATCCCCGCCAGTCACGCGGGAGACCGGAGAAGAGTGTCCACAAGTGTCTCCCTTTCCGTTCAACAGCTCATAGGAAACTAACTCCACACACTCCAAAGAAGGAGTCTGACGGGTCTCGAGAATCAGACTTTAACAGCAGCTCATGAAATAAGGGGAGTCGTCACTCCCTCACATATCCGCTGGGTCTCTATCTTCGGCTGACCCCCCTTGCTTTCAGAACTCCCTCGTGGGAGAGTCCTGGTGCGGCTGGAATCAGCTGACTTCTCAGAGACCTGGGCAGTGGCATTCACACTCCACTCATTACATTCACACTCAGCAGCTGCGTCTAGATTGGCATGATTTTCTGGAAATGCTTTTAATGGGAAAAAAAAGCATTTTCGGAACAGAGCGTCTAGATTGGCAGGATGCTTTTCCGCCAGAGCACTTTTTGCGGAAAAGCATCCATGCCAATCTAGACGTGCTTTTGTGCAAAAAACGCCCCAATCGCCATTTTCGCAATTGGGGCTTTTTGGCGCAAAACAAATCTCAGCTGTCTACACTGGCCCTTTTGCGCAAAAGCTTTTGCACAAAAGGACTTTTGCCTGAACGGGAGCAGCATAGTATTTCTGCAAGAAGCACTGATTTCTTACAGTAAGAAGTCAGTGCTTTTGCGGAAATTCAAGCAGCCAGTGTAGACAGCTGGCAAGTTTTTCCAGAAAAGCGGCTGATTTTCCGGAAAAACTGGCCAGTCTAGACACAGCCAGCATGTTTTTTCAAAAGGTACCTTCTTTCTCTTTTTTTTCTCTACATTTTCCACATTGAGATGCATTTCTTTCCATGGACCTCGTCCATATTTGGGGCAGCAACCAACACTGTTCCCCCAAGGGGCAGCAAACAACATGTTCCCCCCCCAGAACCGCAGGAACCTATAGTTCCCTATGTCTGGACTTAATACAACTTTCCTATATCTGGGGCGTTATCACGACCGCATCAACAGAATCACTAACTCTACAAGGCGGTGGCACTACAGACAAATCCCCAGAACCGCTGTTACTTAATCTACTTGGGGGTCCCCAGAACCGCTTTTGCATCTGACCTTGTTGCTGATTCAAGAAGTTCGGATGGCGTGAGCCCAACGAGGCAGGCAGCTCCACGGGCAGTGGAGATTTCAAAAGGCCTCTTACCTCTAGTCTGGCGCCTTGGGGGTCAGAAGGGGAATGGTCCGCGGTCGTCTAGAAAACAGGCCTTCACTCGGCGTTTGTGAGCAACTAGTAGTCAGAGACAGTTTAATCGAGCAGTATTGCAAGGGAAGAAGCTGCTGTTAGGCAGATCGTCAAATACAAAACAATTAGAAGCCAATATATATCCTGTCTGTTTATATATAATAACAATAAACAATTATTCCCCTTTCCGTAACAATTCCCTTCAGACGCCACCTTATCTCAAGGTCTTCACTAGAGTCAGCATTCTAACCTTATCTCCGACGAAACCAGCATCTCTCGCGGTACTCTGCATTGTTAGGTCTCAGAGTTAGCATGAGTTAGGCTAACCAAAAGGTCAAAAATGGCTACATACAAATCCCTTGGCTTCCACACTGGTAATTTGGCTGTGTATTTTTAGGTACGTGCACACACAATCTCCTGCCTTCTAGGACACAGGAATCAGATCATGGTCTTAAAAGGGTGACTTTTTTATTAACAAAACACAGAAAATACTCTTGACACACTACTTGGTTGCCAGGTGTTACAGAGCAACTGCAAAAACAAAACCAAACAAAACCAAAAAGAAGAAGAAGACGACGACGAAGGAGAAGAAAAAGATTAAAACACAGAATTGTTTCGCTGAGGGCCAGTATGGGGAGTTACAGTATAAGGCACAGCACGAAGAGTTCAACCAACCCAAAAATAAAGAAAATAACCTGATCGCATCCGACTAAACATGCCGTTCTACTCTCTCATCTGCTGGTCCAAGATTTAATCCTTTTCTAGGCATGGATGTTGCTGGATACTCCAAACCAGGCTCCCTGGCTTAATTCATGTCCTTCCAGCTCTGCGCTGGCAGGAATAGGAAAGATTTCAATTCGAAAGCTCACACGCTTTTTTCCATTGAGTCTCCTGGCCTCCTGCCAACTCACTTCCTGCTGCTCTAGCTTCCCTGTGGATTCTCTAGGAAGGGGGGGGGGGGCAATAATTTTTGGCCGGGGGCCACATCAAAAATTTGTGAAGTGGCCCTAGGCTCCCCCAAAGGGGGCAGGGCCTAAACTGGAAGGGGCGGGGCCAGGATGCTTCTGAGCTACCCCACTCATGGGGTGGGCAAGCCCCTTTGCCCCCCCCCTTCCCACTAGGCACCCATGCCTCTGGCAGGGCGGGAAGAGGCTTTGCACACTCCCCCCCAGACCAATCAGGGCCTGATTGCCTAGTGGGAAGGCAGAGTCCAGGGGGTCCCCCACCTCCAGGCGGGGGTGAGGGGAAGGGCGGAGGAAACTTTGCATGCTCCTCCCGCCCCCAGGCCAATCAGGTCAGTGTCCAGCCACTGTGCTATGCTAATTGTGTAGCTTATTTCGAGTCTATTTGAAACAGGCTATTTCGAAATTTGGCACTGTCCATGCAGCACCAACATTGCAAAATAAAGTGCTATTTGGAGCCATCCCTTACTCTTCAATAAATGAGGTTTACTGAGATGGTGAAATAGCGCGGCTGTTATATTTTGGAATAGCGGACGCATTCAAAAAACATGGGGTAGCTATTTCGGGGTACCGCTGGTCTCTCAAATTAACTTTGATGTGTAAACATACCTTAAATATCCTGCAGCATCTACGCGGACACTGATATATGCCTGTCGGGAAGGTGCTGTTGTTACGTCAGTGTACTTGGTACATCAGTGAGAAACTGACCGCACTGAGGGGAAGTAAGCTCCCCTAGGCATATCTAATTCTGTGCTGGAGATCAGGTCTCAACACAGCTGTGGGTTTTTCTTTTCCTGTGTCAGTTTTCACAACTGTCATGGTATCAGGGGTGCGCGAGTCTGTCTGCATCCAGCTGCGAGTTTGCAAATTTAGTCGTACGCCTCTGGATGTCTCAGTGTCGCTGGGGCCTGGGTCTGTCTCCGCATGGTGTTTTGTCCAAGTAGAGTTGTGTGTGGTTCTGTCTGAGTGTTGCTCATGACTGGTGTGGAAAAAGTGAATAAGGAAGAGTTATTTACTTATTCCTGCTATATAAGAACTAGGGATCACCAAATAAATGAATAGGCAGCAGGTTTAAAACAAATAAAAGGAAGTTTTTCTTCACTCAAAAGCGACGAGGAGTCCTGTGGCACCTTATAGACTAACTGAAGTGTAGGAGCATAAGCTTTCGTGGGCAAAGACCCACTTCGTCAGATGCATGTGACGAAGTGGGTCTTTATGTTACATTACCTAAAAGCTAATAGAATGTTGGGAATCATTAAGAAATGGACAGATACTAAGACAGACAATGACGAGAAGTCCTGTGGCACCTTATAGACTAACGGATTTATTGGAGCATAAGTTTTCATTGGCAAAGACCCACTTCGTCAGATGTATCTGACGAAGTGGGTCTTTGCCCACGAAAGCTTATGCTCCTACACTTCAGTTAGTCTATAAGGTGCCACAGGACTCCTCGTCGCTTCTGCAGATTCAGACTAACCCCTCTGATATCCCTCTGATACTTCAGTACCCCTCTGATACTTTCTTCACTCAGTGCACACTCAACCTGTGGAACTCCTTGCCAGAGGATGTGGTGAAGACTAGGACTTTAACAGGGTTCAAAAAAGAGCTAGATAGATTCATGGAGGTTAGGTCCATCAATGGCTATTGGCCAGAAGGGGTAGGAATGGTGTCTCTAGCCTCTGTTTGTCTGGAGGCGGGTGACATGATTTAAACCCACCACTCTGTGCTCCCTAGGCAAATACCCTATTCCCTAATCCACTACAGAACCCACCCCATCTCCTTTCCTTCAGTGGGTCCCTTCACTTGCCATCACTGGGCTAGATGGACCTTTGGTCTGACCCAGTCTGGCTGTTCCTACGAGCTTATGCTGTGTCGCTGTTTCTGCATCACTCCTGTGTGTGGAGATGGGGCGGGGGTACAGGAGGGTGTGTGTGTGTGTTGGGGTAGCTCTTTCTGTTTGTCTCTGTGGTTCTGCCTGTCTCAGCATAGCTTAGGTCCTGCCTCAAGCAGCTTCGTACAGGACAACCTCAGAGTTAGGCTGAACCTATGACCAGCACACGTGGGTGGTTCTTTCAAACATTTACAGCCGAACAATAGACTTTATACAGCTTTGGACCTTTACCGTGCAGAAATAAAATGCTGCTTTTCACCAGCTTCATTTAAATGAAACAAGCACAGAAACCGTTTCCTGACCTTGGAAAAACTTTTTTTTTTAAATCCTTTATTTTGGAGTAGTTTATATTTAACACCCACTGCATTGCATTTGCCTTTCCCCCCCGATCTCTGCTGCCTGAGTGCCGGCTTCCATTACTAAATGTGAGGTGTGGTTGACTGCTCAGTTCGAGGCCGGGATTCCATTGTGTGTCCGTGCTGCTGTCAGTGTGCCTGTCTGCCTGTCTGTCCGCCTGTCTCGTGCGGTTTAGTTTTCTTCTCTTTTTTTCTTTCCCTGCATCTCCCCTGAGTTCAGTCTCCTCCCCAGGGCTGGTCTTGTCCTAGTTTCACATGACACTGATTGTACTTCTGTTTCCTCCACACTCTGTTCCTTCCTTCGCAGACGGTGCCCTCAAATCCCACATCTCCCGGCACACGGCTCCCCGCCACCCTCCTTCACCTGGCCTGGGATGGACCGCCTGCCGCTGCTCCTCTTCCTGTGCACAGGTGAGTACCGGCCACAGCAGGGTGGGAGCAGAAATCCCAGGCAAGATGCCCAGTGGGCAGTGCTGGCCTGAGCCATTCTTGTGCCCTGGGCAGTGGGCACATGGTGTATGTGCGGCCCTGTCCCCGGGCGCACGGTGCCCCTTACAATGTCAATCAGGCACCTCCCATACTGGGGTGAGAACCCAGGGATCTTAGCTCTTAGCCCCACCTGTTCCAACCCACCAGACCCCCCCTGTCCTCGGAGGGCTGGGGTGAGAACCCAGGGATCTTAGCTCTTAGCCCCACCTATTCCAACCCACCAGACCCCTCCTGTCCTCGGAGGGCTGGGGTGAGAACCCAGGGATCTTAGCTCTTAGCCCCACCTGTTCCAACCCACCAGACCCCCCCTGTCCTCGGAGGGCTGGGGTGAGAACCCAGGGATCTTAGCTCTTAGCCCCACCTGTTCCAACCCACCAGACCCCCCCTGTCCTCGGAGGGCTGGGGTGAGAACCCAGGGATCTTAGCTCTTAGCCCCACCTATTCCAACCCACCAGACCCCTCCTGTCCTCGGAGGGCTGGGGTGAGAACCCAGGGATCTTAGCTCTTAGCCCCACCTGTTCCAACCCACCAGACCCCCCCTGTCCTCGGAGGGCTGGGGTGAGAACCCAGGGATCTTAGCTCTTAGCCCCACCTGTTCCAACCCACCAGACCCCCCCTGTCCTCGGAGGGCTGGGGTGAGAACCCAGGGATCTTAGCTCTTAGCCCCACCTATTCCAACCCACCAGACCCCTCCTGTCCTCGGAGGGCTGGGGTGAGAACCCAGGGATCTTAGCTCTTAGCCCCACCTGTTCCAACCCACCAGACCCCCCCTGTCCTCGGAGGGCTGGGGTGAGAACCCAGGGATCTTAGCTCTTAGCCCCACCTGTTCCAACCCACCAGACCCCCCCTGTCCTCGGAGGGCTGGGGTGAGAACCCAGGGATCTTAGCTCTTAGCCCCACCTATTCCAACCCACCAGACCCCTCCTGTCCTCGGAGGGCTGGGGTGAGAACCCAGGGATCTTAGCTCTTAGCCCCACCTGTTCCAACCCACCAGACCCCCCCTGTCCTCGGAGGGCTGGGGTGAGAACCCAGGGATCTTAGCTCTTAGCCCCACCTGTTCCAACCCACCAGACCCCCCCTGTCCTCGGAGGGCTGGGGTGAGAACCCAGGGATCTTAGCTCTTAGCCCCACCTATTCCAACCCACCAGACCCCTCCTGTCCTCGGAGGGCTGGGGTGAGAACCCAGGGATCTTAGCTCTTAGCCCCACCTGTTCCAACCCACCAGACCCCCCCTGTCCTCGGAGGGCTGGGGTGAGAACCCAGGGATCTTAGCTCTTAGCCCCACCTGTTCCAACCCACCAGACCCCCCCTGTCCTCGGAGGGCTGGGGTGAGAACCCAGGGATCTTAGCTCTTAGCCCCACCTATTCCAACCCACCAGACCCCTCCTGTCCTCGGAGGGCTGGGGTGAGAACCCAGGGATCTTAGCTCTCAGCCCCACCTGTTCCAACCCACCAGTCCCCCCTCCCTGCCTGAGAATGGCGAGTCTCTCTCCAAGGTTCCCAATCTGAAGTTCTCCAAGACAGACAATGGCTCTCACCTCTCCCATCCCCCACCCCTGATATTCATTCAATTGGCTTCCCCCCTCCCATGCCAACACCCCACCCCCCACTTGACCTACTCACTTCCTCTGCGGGGCGGTTGCATCACAGCCGAGCTGCTCAGGCTGGAGGAAAATTAAATTGTACCTGACTCCCACGGTTACCTGGGGGGAGAGAGAGAACCCTGGAGTCCTGATTTCCAGCTCTGCCCCCCCCCCCCCAACCAGTAGGTCCCTCTCCCTTTGCAGCACTGGAGTCTGGAACCGCGGAGCCACCTTGCCCACTTCCCCTTCCCCAGCCTCCTACTGGCACCACTCCCAAGTGGGTTGCACCATACGCTGGGCAGTTTCCCAATTGCTTTGCAGAGCCTGTTTGTCAGGGGGAGGGGGAGAGCCTGGACTAGTAGCGGGCCAAACCACTGCATCAGAAGGGCAGCCTGTATCTGCTCTTTTAGCCATGGCTTGGGAAGGCCAAAATATGCCTGCTGAGGGCCCCCAATGGGCTACCCCACCCGGCAGCATAGCCTTGGGATGCTCTTGCAACTGGTTCTCATGGCCACCTATAAAGTCTGGCCCACTGGGGTCTGGATGCCTGGGTCCCCCCCTCCAGTGAAGAGAGGGGGCTGGGGAATGGGAGTGGGAGAAGGGATAGGGCAGGCGTCCGGACTCCTAGGAAATACAACAAGAAGTCCTGCGGCACCTTATAGGCTAACAGAACTATTGGAGAATGAGCTTTCGTGGGCAAAGACCCACTTCATCAGGTGCATGTAGTGGAAATTCCAGAGGCAGGTATAAAATATACAGGCACATGAAGAGAAGGGAGGACCAATCAAGAGAAAGGCCAGAGTTAACGAGGTCAATTCAATCAGTGAGGATGTGGCCCACTTGATGTGGAGGTATGACCACCGAGAAAGGAGGAACTGCTATGGTAGTTGGTCAGCCATTCACAGTCTTTGTTTAATCCTAAATTGATCGTGTCAAATTTGCAAATGAATTGTAGCTCTGCAGTTTCTGTTTTTTGGGGGTTTTGTTGCAGGATGGCTACTTTTAAATCTGCTACTGTGTGTCCAGGGAGAGTGAAATGTTCTCCTACACGGTTTTGTGTGTTACTATTCCTGATATGTGGAGAAATTGGAGAGGGTCCAGAGAAGAGCAACAAGAATGATTAAAGGTCTAGAGAACATGACCTATGAAGGAAGGCTGAAAGAACTGGGTTTGTTTAGTTTAGAAAAGAGAAGATTGAGGGGGGACATGATAGCAGTTTTCAGGTATCTAAAAGGGTGTCATAAGGAGGAGGGAGAAAAATTGTTCATCTTGGCCTCTGAGGATAGAACAAGAAGCAATGGGCTTAAACTGCAGGGTGGTTTAGGTTGGACATTAGGAAAAAGTTCCTAACTGTCAGGGTGGTCAAACACTGGAATAAATTGCCCAGGGAGGTTGTGGAATCTCCTTCTCTGGAGTTATTTAAGAGTAGGTTAGATAAATGTCTTTCAGGGATGGTCTAGACCTGTGGTCACCAACAGGTCGATCGTGATCGACCAGTCGATCGCGGAGCGTCCTGTCCACCCTGCCCCCATTTCCCTCCCACCCCCGGGAAGCCCCACTACCTACCTCAAGTGAAAATGGAGGTAGTGTAGCTTCCCAGGATGGACAGAAGTCCCGCAGCTTAGCGCCACTTCCGGCGATTCCAGAAGTGCGCTAGCTGCTCTGCCGGGTGTACTGTGGGAGGGAGCATCGGTTCCCTGCACCGCACAGGAGGGGTGAGTCAGCCCCGGGGGAGTTGCTCATGGGATTTTCCTGTGCCGGGTGGGTCGGCCCCGGGGCAGGCGCATGTGGGGTTTCCCTGTGCCGTGGGGGGGTTAGCCTGGAGGAGGCATGCGCTGGCTTCCCTCTGGAAGGGGGGGAATCCTGGAAAGAGGCAGATGCAGGGGACTCTCTGCCCCAACTGGCACCCCGCCCCTTGTCCGCACTCCCTGCTCCCCACTGCCCTGCCCCAGCCACAGAACTCTGTTCCCATTCCTGTCCCCACTCCCCGAACTCTGTCCCCACTGGCACCCTGTCCCCTGCTGCAGAAACCTGTCCCCATTGGAACTCTGTCCCCTGTGCAGAACCCTGTCCTCTGCCCTCCCAGCACCCTGTTCCCTCTCCCCTGCTCCCAGCCGCAGAACTCTGTCCCCACAAAATGTATAATTATAAATGCTTCATTTTAGATTTAAATAGCATGAATAAAAAACAGACCATTTATTTCATAACTATAAACACCTGATTTTAATTTTATATATGGCATAATTTAAAAATAAACTGTTTATCAGAATGTGTAAGCAAGGGCTGGGGATAGCAAGTGATGGACAGGAGGAGAATAGAGAGGGTGGGGCTTCAGTGAAGGGGTGCAGCTTCCGTGAAGGGGCGGGGCTTCAAGAAAGGGGCAGGGCGGCAGATCTTCACCTGTTCTGAGATTTAAAAAGTGATCGTGGGTGTAAAAAGGTTGGAGACCACTCGTCTAGACCGTACTGGGTCCTGCCATGAGGGCAAGGGACTGGACTCAATGACCTCTCGAGGTCCCTTCCAGTCCTAGTATTCTATGATTCTGTGATATCTGATTTGGGTCTGTTTCTTCTTTTACATAGGGACCGTCCAGTTTAGCCGATGTATATGGCAGACGGGCATTGCTGGCCGTCTGCCTTATACATATTACACTGGTATTACATATGTATTACCTTGGTAGATGTGCAGATAAATGAGCCAGTGATGGTGGGGCTGACGTGGTTAGGCCTTGTGATCTGCTGGTGTTGCTGGTGTAGGGATCTGAGCAGAGTTGGCACTGAGGTTTGTTGCAGGGATTGGTTCCTGAGTTAGAGTTACTGTGGGGCGGTGTGTAGCTGCTGAGAATTTGCTGCAGTTGGCGGGTTGGCGGTGGGTGAGGATTGGCCTGCCTCCCCCGGCAGCAAACCTCGGTGCCAACTCTGCCCACATGCTAACACGGCTGCCCCTCTGATGCTGGACTCCTGGGGTTTCCCACTGGCTCTGGGTTGTTACTTACCAGCAGGTCTCACACTTCGGCTGAGTTCATTGCACATTTTGGAGGCTCATCTCCTTCCAACCCCTCTCTTTGTGGGACCCCCTCCCACCCTCTTCAGGGGCTCTGGGTGCCCCTCCTTACCCCCTTTCTCTCCCATGCTCCCATTCTGTCTTTCCCTCACTTCTCCTTCCATGCAAGAGGACCCCGAGATCCCCTACTTGCCAAGGATTCTGGGTCCTTCATTTCCTCATCACCGCCCCTATGCCAAGTGTACACCCCCATTGCACCCTTCTTCCCCACCCCACCCTCTTCTCCCTCGCCGTTCTCAGCAGATCAGGTGTGCCGGGTGTGCACATGCTGCACTGCATGGGTAGCTGAGGGGGGACGTCGCAAGGGGTTACACCCAGACCTGGCTAAAGCTGCTGGCTCTGCCAAGCAGATGCCAGGGGGTCTGTGTGTCCCCCCATTTCCCTCCTTCTGGTTTTCTAACCCTCCCCTCCAAACCCATAGGGTTGTGCGCCCTGGAGCATTCCCCGAACTCTTGGACTTGACCCGATGTGGTGTCCCATGCCACAGACAGACACACAGGCACCCAGTTCTACATAGGGCTGGCCATGGATGTGCTAGGCGCTGTACTGACACAGGGTCAGCAGATGTGAGAGCAGAGGGCAGGGGTTGGGGATTCTATCTGGCTATCTAGCTCCTGGGTTCCTCTATCTGAGAGGTGAGCAGGTGTTGGTGGGTTGGAGCAGAGAAGGCTGGGGGTCAGGCCAGCCCTAATAGCCTCACCACTGGTCCTTTCTCCTGGGGAAACTCTAACCAGAGACCGTTTAACCCCTGCAGCGCTGGCCTCCAGCCGTGGATTCAGCGTGGACGTGGACGGACCCATCACCTTCCAGGAGGCAGCCGCGGGGTTCGGGCAGAGCGTGGTGCAGTTCGGCGGGGCCAGTGCTGGGAGGTAAGGGCAGAACTTGGGCTCAGGGGGGCCCAGTTACTCGGGCAGAGCGTGGTGCAGTTCGGGAGCGCCAGAGCCGGGCGGTAAGAGCCAAACACAGGCTGTTCCCACCCCTGAGGGGACTGTCTGGGATGATGGGGTGCCCCTGAGCCTCTCTCTGCTCTCTCCCCTCCAGGCTGGTCATCGGGGCCCCGCTGCAGACGGGGAACGTGAATGAAACTGGCAAAGTCTACACGTGTGACGCAGGCTCCAGACGCTGCCAGGAGATCCCCATCCAGAGTAAGGGCCCCCCTGTGCTGTGGGGTGCATGGGGGCAGACTGTGGGTGAGAGGCTGGGAGCCAGGAGTCGGGTTCCAGGCCTGCCCCTGGGAGTGGTGTGGGGCCTCGTGGTTAGCAAAGTGTCACTGGGGAAGACTCAGAACCAGCACTTGCTCTGGGTAGGCAGCACGGTCTAGTGGGTGGGTCAGAGCAATGGGGGCTGGGAGATCAGGAGGCCTGGGTTCTCTTTCCATTCAGTTGCAGGGGGATGTGCAATGACTTCCCGTCCTCCCCCACAGATGTGGAAAGGAGATTGAGTCACAAGGTGGGGCAGCAGTGGGGAGGGGGGAATGACTCAGTGAAGTTGGACTGACCCTGTCTCACCACAGGTTTTCTCAGCCGGGTGTGGGTGTGTTTCTCTCGCAGGGCCCCTGGACGCAGTGAACATGTCCCTTGGATTGTCTCTGGCTGCCCGGGGCTCCCAGCTCCTGGTGGGTACCACACCCAGGGGAATTGGGGGGCACTGGAGCAGGGCTTCACCCCGGATTTGGGTCAGTCACTTTACCCAGAATTCCACAAACTCTTCCTCCCCCCCACCAACAATGTTTGTGAGATTGAGCAGCAGCACGGTGATGTCATAGAGCGGGTGACATCATAGAGGTTTGAACCCCTGGAGAGCCACCGTCACCAGGGGAGATGGGACCGTGGGACGGGAACCCCTGTGCACTGTCCCAGGGAGGCGGATAACTGGGTGACGTCTGGAGGGGCGATAGAATGATACAGCAGGAAGGGGTCATGTCGCCAGCGCCAGAGCAACTGTCATGGTGGGGGTGGGAAGTGGGGGGGGAGAGGGAGAAGGTGTCACCGTGAGAGTGTATTTTCCAAATGTTACTTATTGGGTGCAGGGGTGATGTGTGCGGGGGCCACATGTCCCCCCAAATGCATAAGCAGGAGGGGCAAGGGGTCAGAGCCTTTGGGTGGCCTGGGGGACTAGCCAAGGGGGCCTGGCACCCACGGCAGGGCTCACTCCTGCCTCCCTCACCCCCCCGCTCACCAGCAGTAGCAGAGGGAAGCGTAGCAACATGGCTCTGCGTTGCTGGCTCCCAACCGCATCTCTCGGGAGGGATGGGAAATTTTAAATTAAATTTTAATTTTAATTTTAATTTGTAACCCGACTGGGTGTTTTATGGTGACTGGACCCCATTGTGCTAGGCACTGGAAAAACACAACACAACAAGGTCCCACGGGGCTTACAATCCGAGTGTGAGACAAGCAACAACAGCTAGAAACGGGCACACAGATGGGGGAGAACAGGGAGACAACGAGACACTATTGGTCGGCCCGACCGGCAGTGGTCTCGGTGCACCACTGGCCTAATTGCTGCTCAGTTTTGTAGCAGGCAAAGTGGAGCTTTCAGGAGGCTTGGCCAGGAGACATGGCGGCTATTTTCGGGGAGCTCATCTCCCGTGTGAGGGGCCGTGTGGGAGACGTGCAGAGGGGTTGGCTGGAAAAAGGAACAACTGGGCTGTGGAGGCCGGGCATGAGACTGAGAGATGGTAGGCTGGGTGGGGACAGGCGGAGAAGGGCCTGGAAAGGGAAGAGCAGCAGTTCGGGTTTGAGGGGAGAGCGAAGAGGCAGCCAGAGGGCTACAAACAAGGGGGGACAGGAGCACTCTGAGTGGAGATGAAGGGTTGTTGTTGCCATGGTGAGGGGTGAATGGCCTAAGACGCTGTGAGGCGTGTGGTAGCCAGGTGCCACTAGAATGACTTGCGATGGTTATGTGAGAGGGGTAGCAGGGGGGTAAGCAAGTGACATCACTATGACGACTGTGAGGGTGTTTTGGGGAATGGGGGAGCCCACATAGAGCAGGGAGGGTGGTAGACAGGTGATATCACCATGGCGACAGTGCCTGCAGAATGACATCACAGGGAGGAAGCATGACAGGAAGCATGGCAACCCACTGGGTGATGTAGCCATGGCAACAGTCACTGGACGCTACTGCCATAGCGGGGAGCATGGTAACCGAGTGATGTCCCCGTGTCACTCCCTGTCCCCTCTCTCGGAGACAGGTGGCGGGTTCTGGGGTCCTGTCTGCCCCCAGGGGGTCCCCTGCCCTGGCAGGGCCTTTTCCCACATAGCCACGGTCTTTCTGCTTCACACTCAGTTCTCATCACCTACTGACCTCGTCCCTCTCTCATGCCCCAGGCCTGCGGCCCCACGGCGCACCGGGCCTGCGGGGAGAACATGCACCTCAACGGCTACTGCTTCCTCCTGGACCAGAGCCTCCCGCAGCTCCGGCGTATCCCGGACACCCTGGCAGGTGGGGGGCAGAAAGGTCTAGATGGGTCCATGGGATGTAGGGGGGAGGGTTGGACAGCAGCCTAGATGGTCCTATTGGTTTGATTCAGGATGCCAGTTGGATCTAGGAGGCAGGACCCCTGGGTTCTGTCCCCAGCTCTGGGAGGGGGGAAGGTGCATTTTGTCACCCCAGTGCATGTCACGCTCTGCTCTCAGGACCCCTCAGTGGCAGGGGCCGTTGGTCTGAACCAGAGTGGCAGGGAGGGGGCAGGATACCGGGGTAGATGGGCCCATAGGTCTGACCTAGCGCTTTCCGCTGGGTTTCTCTCAGTCCTTGTGGAGGTGAGTCAGGACGGGTTTCTCCTCTGCCCCTCTCAGAGTGCCCCAAAGGTGCCACGGACATCGTTTGCACAAGAGAGCATCCACACTGCCATGGATGCTCTTGAGCAAAAGCACATCTCGCACATGACAGTGTGGGATATATTTATATGGGACCAGCGGGGAGCCGAGCTTCATGTATGTGTCCAGAACCTCCAGTGACATGGATTATGCTTACCTGGGTAAGGGCACAGCCAGAGAGCTTCCCTGCCCCTTCAAACAGCCCCCTGGCCCCACCCCAGCGGCAGCTGCATCTCTGCTCTGGGGGAGCCATTCTAGTATGAACAGGCAATATTCCATGCTTAGCCTAATTTTCATATTTCTCGTGCAAGAAGCCCTGAGTGTAGACATAGCCAAAATGTGCTAGGCTGGGTCCCCCCAGGCTCTGGTGTGCAAAGAGAATGTGGAGAGGGTCTTTCTCCTTCTCAGTCAGGGGCCACTTCAGTGAGCGGTTGTTTGGGGTATTTTTACTTCTCACTTGTGTGCAACTGTGGGTCAGTGGCCCCCGGCCCAAAAATGGTTTCCCACCCCTGAACTAAGGGTTAAGAACTCTTCATTTTCAACCTCAGCTTTCTACCCCATGATTTGGACATGTCAGTGAAGGAGGAAGCACCTCCGTGCGTTGCTGCTTCCCCACCAGCTGGAACAATGGCAAAGCACAGTGCTGGCCTGGAGGGTTTCGCAGACCCTGCACGCCCACCCTCACCACACTCCTGCCCTTTCCCATATTGCACACATTCATCCTCAGGACCCTTCATTATGGTGAGTGCCCATGGTCCTAAAAATTCCACCAGCTGGCATAGCCTATTTCCCAAGGTTGGAATCTCATTTGTGATGATCATTCCACCTGATAGAATTCTTTTCTCTTTTAAAAAACTAGAAAATTGCACACATTTATTGTTGTTTTAAAAAGTGAATAAGGTTGCAAAGTCAAAGTTAGGAAATTCTAGAACTGTAATGTTTCCAGTCCAGTTTTGCAGACTCAAAATGTTTAACTAGTTCAAAGGGCCTTTGGAGTCTCATCTGAAATGTTTATGTTTATTTGAATAAAATCAAACTTCTAAACCTTCTGAGATTCACACATTTCTCTAAAAACCTGTTAAGTACACAGGGAAATTATATAACCACTTTGCATCAAGTGTATTTTTGCGTGTGTGTAAAATGGCATCATTTGTAGACTGAAAAAGAGAGATGAAAATGTGACTCTTGCAAAAAACCAAAACTGACAAAAAGCAATGCTGTGCAGAAACAGGCATTTATTAAACTGCGTAGTTATTCAGGTAGCTGTTCAGCAACGCTGTTAGTTAGGAGGGGCCAGGATTGACTGTTGCGATGTCCTCATGACATTAATGATGTCAATGATGATAATCAGAAGACTGCTTGAGTGTGTGCTCAGTGATGTGTGCAGTGTGGACTTGTGCACTTAGTCTTCTCAGCAGACTCCAAGAGAGCCCCCAAAGACCACAAACCAGATAAGGATCAAAAGTGCCAGGCTAGGTTTATTGTTAAGCAAAGAATAGTCCTAGTTGCCAATAGACTGTACGCACACCTGGGATCAGCGATGTCATGGGCCACGAGGGTCTGGGGGTGGGACCTGCACCCCTCGAGGGTGAGACTGACACGAAGGTTACTCAGGGGAGAAAAGGTGCTTGTGCCCCAGTGACGGGCCAGGCCAAAGGGCTCCTCACAGCCCCAGAGCAGAGACCTTCCCAAACAGGCCACACACCAGTCACACCGAGCGCTTCAGATGCCAGTCCGGGCAGTAGGAAGCCTGAGCAAAACCCCTTGGACACCCTAGCTCTCCCTGTGCCAAAATCAGCCCCGGGCCTAACACACAGGTGAGGGGTTATAGAACCTAATCTCACCTACCCCAAATGGGTCTTTCTGGTCCCAAAGAACCAGCCACAGTTCCCAGTCAATTTACACTTTGGATCTTACCCACAAGAGCACACTGGGCCAATCCTTTAGAATCTAAAATCTAAAGGTTTATTAATAAAAGAAAGAAAAGCATGAGAGTAAGGTTGTTAAGGAGAATACATTACATGCATCGAATCACCAAGTTCCCGATGCAGAATCTTAGCAGAGATGTTACAAACTGCTAACTTAAAAGTCTCTGGTGTACATCCTATGTCAGGATGGCCCTACGTTTCTTCCCGGCTCTCTGTTCCTCGCAAGGCTGCATCTGGAATCAGTAGCAGAATTGAAGGCAAGATGGAGCCTGCCTCATGGCATTTTATATCCATCCCTGGTATCTTCCAAGCTGGAGCAAGTCACATGGCCCAGTGACCTATCCCTGTGTCCCATGTCAGCAGTCATGATATTGGTTGGTTTGCAGGACCCAGACACATTCCTCAGGTGTATATTGGCCTCTCTGAGAACCTTGTCCCTGGAGCTTTGCTAATTAGCACAGTCACTGACTGAACAGTCCTGGCCCATTGCTCTGTCTCAGACAGAGAATCTTCCAGCATCAACATAGAGTACAGGCAGTCCCCGGGTTACGTACAAGATAGGGACTATAGGTTTGTTCTTAAGTTGAATTTGTACGTAAGTCGGAACTGGCTCCAGAGTCAGCCCAGGGACACCCGGAGCAGCTTTTCTCACCCCGGAGAACGCGGTGGCGGGACCACTGCGCGTCTGGGTGGTCCCACCGCCCGTGAGTTCCGGGGCGAGAAAAGCCCCGTTCGTAAGTGCAGATCCGACGTAAGTCGGATCCGCGTAACTCGGGGACTGCCTGTACAATTTTAAAAATTAAGGCCCCGATTCAGCGAAATATATAAGCATGTGCTTCAGTCCTTTTCTATGATAGGGTTGCCAAGTGTCCAGTTTTTAACCAAATAGTCCAGTATTTGAGCTTTCTGTTCGGGGAAAAAAATTGAGACACTATAATTGAGTAAATAGAACTGTTCAGTATTTTCTCAATCAGATGTAATGTAGATTGTGATACAATGTCAAGTGTGGCCAGTATTTTTCTTGAAACCATCTGGCAACCCTGTCTATGAAGTCAATGAGACCTAAATACATTTCTGAAGTTAAGCATGCGTTTAAATCCTTTGCTGAACCACAAGCTAAGCAAACTGGATGGATAGTACAGATCATTACACTGTGAGAGTTAGACACAACCTAATAATGGCTATAAACAAAATGATCCATAGGCCCCTAGAAGCTCTAAATTCATTGTGTTGGAGAGTATTCTAATGGATGGTAAATTTACTGATTATAAGTCAATTCATGGTCTCCCCTGCCTGTGTGGCTGAAATACTTTTGGTCATTTCTGAGACCAAACTGGAATTTCTGCTTGTCTGGGAGCTAGTGATTTTGCACAGAATTTAAACCAGGCCCCACTTTTGCTGGCTTGGCAGTTGCGAGCAGTTTCCAGGCAAGCAAAACAAAATTCGACATGACACTGTGGACAGTTAACATATTTGCACTTTTCCATGTGCTCAATGAGTCGCCCACAGGTGGGACACGCCCGGATGGAGGGGCAGCTTTTTATTTCACTTCCGGGAAGATCCTTCAGTTTGCAGTTTGCTAAGACTTCCAGCGACTGGTTCTTGCAGCCTTCATTGTCACACCTCTCGGAGGGGGCCCCTGTGCCTTTCCAGGGCTTCAGGCACTGCCAGCAGAACTCAAAGGTTTCCCCCTTCAGCGAATGGCAGAGGATACAAACCACTCTCAGGTTTTTCAAATCTCGGCGTTCCACAAAGCTTTTGCAGTTGGGACACTGAGAGAGAGAGAAATTTCAGACCTGAGTATGTTTCACAGTCTTTTTCAAAAGAAAGTGATACCAAATTGCTTTTGAATAGCTTCTGGAGTCCCTTCTTATTTTGTAGGCTACCTATAAAAATGAGTGTGCTCCCTTTTGACTTTCAGGCAGTCCCCGAGTTACGCAGATCCGACTTATGTCGGATCCGCAGTTACGAACGGGGCTTTTCTCGCCCCGGAGGACGGGAGCGGCGGGACGCCCAGATGAGCTGCGGTCCCGCCGCCCGCGTCCTCCGGGGCGAGAAAA